AGACCAGCCTGGTCTACAAGAGTTAGTTCTAGGACAGGCTCCAAAGTTACAGAGAAACCCTGTCTCAAAAAAAAAAAACCAAAAAAAATGTAATGTATAATTAAGATATATAGGTTAATAGTCATGTTAGTTAGGTTTTCTAGATATATAGAGATATATTTCAGTTAGATAGGTATTTTTCAAATCTTTCAGAGACCTTCAGAATATGGCATTTAGAATGTTTAAGAACTCAGGACTCTTTCATGAGAGTGAGACACACCCACTCCTGGCAGCTCCAATCTACTTCAAGAGGAAGATGGGCATCAAAGAGTCTCCTTATGGAGTTTGTTAGCTGTTTGGGCAAGAAACTACTCTTGCCTGGACTGTTTGATAAACTGGACATGCAGGACCTGCAGAGAAATGACTGCTGAACTTGCCTAAAGGTGAGATAATTCTTTGGGGGTCCTGCTTCATGGAAGAGTCTGCTAGACGTCCTGCAGGGCACAGAAGAAAGTGACTGACAAACTGCCAAGATAGGCAAAACTATCTTTGAAATTTCCTGCCTCATGGAAGTCTGCCAGATACTATGGGCCTGTAGGCTAAAGACTGGATGCCCCAACAATACAGAAGAACTTTGGGTAACTGTCTAGGCAGTGAGATGTCTCTGTCTAGAGTTTTGGAAGTTGCTTACAATGCACTTCCTGTTACCATAGGTAATATTATATCCTTCTGGAGTCTTTGATGGAGTTGAAGAATAGATAGTAATTTTATCATTTTCCTTAGTTATGATAAAAGAAAATAGGTATAACTGTAATTCTTGCTTGATAACTGTTCTATGCAATTTTACTATGTTAAAGTTAAAACCTTTTTTATTTAGACAGAAAAGGGGAGGTGATGTGGGATTCCCCTTTGTGTGCTATAAATACGGTTGGTTAATTAATAAAGAAAGCCGGCTTGGCCTCATGGGGCAAAAGAATAGAGGTAGGCAGGGAAAACTAAAATGAATGCTGGGAAAAAGAAGGGTGGAGTCGAGGAGAAACCATGGAGCTGCGGCCAGAGACAGATATGTTGAAACCTTGCCAGTAGGCCACAACCCTCGTAGTAAAATATAAAATAAGGGAGATGGGTTAATTCTAGATTTAAGAGCTAACTAGCAATATGCTTAAGTAATAGGCCAAGCAGTGATTTAAATAACATAGTTTCTGTATGATTATTTTGGGTCTGAACTGCCAGGTGTCCAGGAAACAAACAAGAGCCCTCATACAACACAGAAAACACACAACTTCAGCAGGCAAAGTTTGAGACAAAGAATGATTAACCAACAGAGTATTAGTTACTAAGAATAAAGAGATCTACTAAATAGAGAAGTGGTGTATATAGGGAAATAATGCTACCTTTACAGATGAAGCAAAGAAGCCAAGGAAGGAAAAAAAAAAAAAAACTGGTATCCATGCAAGATTGTAAAGTGACTTTGGAGAGGATATAGTTGTGGTTCTGTTTGCTGAGATGCTGAAGGCTGGAGAACTGGGGTGTCGAGGTAGTTAGGCCACAGGGTCCTAGTGCTGAGAAGGGAATGTGGACACAAGCTCCTATTCCTAACAAAGAAGCCATCTCCAATCAACAACCGTTTTTTGCCGTGGAGTCTCACTGGGTATATAAACCACACTTAGGGTCAGCCCCCATGCCCAGCAGTAGATGACCAACACAAAACAACCTCAGTGGGGTTTTTATTGTCTCACATGGCTTTGTTTGTGCACTGTAAGGGGCCGCCAGGACATCGCCATGGTGAAATGGTGCCAGCGGTCCTACAGCTTGGAGGTAAACAGATCCTTTTGATGTTGCCACGCGGGCGAGAGCGCCCTAGGCCTGTATTTTGCCTAACTGAGCCTTGGTTCCCTAGCCTATCCCGAAACCCCGGGCTTCAGCGGAATGGTATTAACCAATCAGGACAGTATCTGAGCCTCTCCACCCTAGAAAAGCAGCTGCCGCTTGGCTTTTCGCTCTCTCTAGTCCCCATTCCCCCTTCAACTGAGTTGCTCCAATAAAGTTGTGATTTGGGAAGAATTCTCGATTTCGTGGTCGTTCCTGCTTGCTGGTCAAGGGGTGCATCTCACAGTGCACTTTTTACCTTACTGATCTTTTGCTTATATATTATGCTTCCACTTCTGTATTTTTACATTTTTTCCCCCTGTGTGTGTGTGTGTGTTTTCTTGTCTGTTTAAGAGAGAAGGCATGGAGTTGGATGGGTTGGGAGAATTTGGGAGATGAGGGGAAACCATGCTCAGAATATATATTATTTTTCAATTTAAAAACCACGCATATTATAAAACACATGACTTTAGACGATTTAGAAACAAAAAAATTGAATTATGATGTAGTAAAACATCATATTGGATTGCCTCTTCCCCCCCCAGTAAGGCTCCACTGGAGTGCTGCTGATACTCAGAGGGAGGTTGTCTGTTGCAGCAAGGCTTGCTGTAACTCCTGCGGAACTGCTGGAAACTCGGCTCACTTCCTTGAGATGCCACTGCAATTTGATGGCAGAGTGCCACCGGTGTCCTAAAGCTAAGCTCCTCCACAGTGCAGTTAAACAGGAGCCAGGTCTTCACTGCTGCAGCTTCCCTTCTGCATTCTGATGGCAGCTGGGAGGGGAACAATGTGGAATTGCCAGCTCCAGATCCCAAGACAGGCCCGAAAGGGAAGATTTGGAGCCAATACAGAAAACGGGATATACACAAACCAGCAGTGGTTCCCATATGCATCTTGATAAAACTTGGCACCAAAGGGGATGGGGGCGGTCAGATTAAGAATGTTTGGGGAAAATGTCCAGAATAGTTAAGTAGTAAGACTGTTACTGGTATAGCTGGCTATCTAGAACACTGGTTTCTAAGTGGGGGATCAGAGGACAGGACTTTTCATTTGCTTAACTTCATGTATTGTTTAGGATGTTAGGGGTACCATGATGAGGCTAGAGATGGGAACAGTGGCTGAGCGCAGCATGGTTGGTTCCTAGCACCAGGTCTAACTCCAGCTCTGGGGGTGGGGGGACACGACGACACCAAAACTCTCTGATCTCTAAGTGTACCTTGAACATTCCCACACATACATCATGATTAAAAACAAGTGGTTAAAAAAAAAGTAGTGGGCTATATTTGTAGATCATGAAAACTATCAATTCCCTTAGGCATTGTAACAAAGGCAAGACTGGCAGTTGCTGCATCTGAACAAGCCTCACTCAGGACTCAGTCAGCACCTTACATTTCACTTGTGCCCCACACTAGACATCCCTGAGTAACAATGCCGAGCAGACCAGCTCTGAAGTGAGCTGCAACACAAACGCTGGTGTCTCCACACTGTTCCTTATGGGTAACACATTAAGACAGTGGTCCTTCAGCAAAAAATGTTACTTCAGAGGTATGTGAAAATCCTCTAGGACCTTATAAGCAATGACAAGATGCTTTCAAAGCGAGCCAAAACTTGTTTCCCCTTGAACAGCTGTAGTTTGCCTACAGAATCTTTGCTTAGTGTGCAAGGCATTGGGTTTCAGCCCCAGCATGGAGGTGGAAATGGGACAAAAAGCCTCAATCATGAACACTATTGAGCAGAATTCTGTTTTATACTAAATTTAGGATCAATGCTGTACTATATTAAGTAATCTACAGGACCTAACACAGACATAAAGCAGATGCCAAAGGAACACAAAAAGATTTCTAAGTTTACAAAAAATGAAACGTGCTTATTAAAGCCGTTTTTCTTAGCTTTTTTGAGATACAGTACTGTGTAGCCCTGGTCGTCCTGGAACTTGCTCTATAGAGCAGGCTGGTCTGCCTTACCTCCCAGTGCTAGGATTAAAGGTATGCACCCCTACCTAATGCCCAGATCTGTATTAGCCCCTATTAGAGCACTCTTCCAACTTCCCCAGGTTCCAGGAAATGAATTGTTTGGCATCAACTTGTCTTTTCATCATAGGAAGCCACTCTCCAAGTAAAAACAGGCAGGAATGCATAGAACAATGGCATTTTATGTTCTCAGACCTACTGAGGGCATCCTTTGCAAACATTTCATGAGACTCGATTGTTTTGGCTTTCCCCATTCTGCCTACAACATAGCACTACACACTTCAAATAGCAGCAGTACTGGCATGCTCAAAGGCTGGGACACAGCTCAGTGAGAGCACTTGCCTATCATGTAGCCCAGGGTTACTGTCCCCATCACTGCAATATAAAAAAATTCAATTTAATGTAAACCTGACTTATTACTCAATAGTTTTTTGTATGTGGGCAGCAACAGCACGTGTGGCCAGAGGACAACTTGCAGGGTTCCCAAGTTCTCTCAGGTTGGCAGGCTCAGCAGCACCCATGGAACCAACCATCTTGCTGACCTTTAATTTCTAGTCAGACTAGCTGCTCAGTGTGAAACATGACTAGATTTTTTTGAAGTAGAGCATTTCCTTCACGAGCACTTCTTCCCCTTAAAAGTAGTTGGTACAACTGTCTCCTGCTCCACTGAACACTTTTGTAAAGTAAATCGAGTATTCTTCAATTGGCCAAAACAGCCAGTGGGTTAAGACCATCCCAACATTCTTTTGATCCAGTTTGTTCTACAAACCAGATCTTAATGTTTTTCAAAACAGAACTTTAAAAAAAAAATGATGTTCACACAATCCAAGTATAACGTCAACAATTACTTTTGACATAGACAAAGCAAACACTCCCCAACCCTGTCATTAAGAATTCTAGTAAGATTCGGCACAGCACATGCAATTCAAACCTACAAGGAATAAAGTGTACATGGCACATGTGCACAGGATGAGGTTGAAGCCAGAGATCTCTCCTTCCATGCCAGGATGAACTCCGGTCTGGCTGGCTTGGTTGCAAGCACCTTTACAGGTTAAGCAACACATTTATTTTAAAAGGCACTTTTGCTCAAGATATTCTCTACACAAAACTGCAGACATTTTACCAGTTTCCACAATATTTTTCCTTACATGTTAACAAATGTGGGGAAGCCAACACCCAGGATAAAGGATTTAATCCAGTATTTATTCCATACTCATGATGGTTTTCTGAAATCAGAATACAAGTCATAAGAACAATCTATCAAATAATCTGCTGATAGTCTTAAATAACGCAGCACTGCATTACTGTTATACTGTTCCTAGATTAAGTTTAAAAACTCAAACAGCAGTCTTCATCAATAAAAAAAGTTTTCAATTTTAAAAAAAGGATACTATATCAAGCTGTTTCATAATTTAAGTATTCTCCATTTATAAAAATGCTTTGGAAGCTTGAGGCTTGAATGCTTCTCTGCCCGCGTGCCCCACCCTCTCCCCATCACTTGTTAGTATAGGGCTGCTGCAATGCCAGGCTTTACACGGCTTTTAATATAGTACTTTTAAAATCTGAGAAAGAATTCAAGGAGGGGAAAAGCACATGTCAATGTATTTTTTAAAAAAGAAACTAAGTGAATAAATTTTAGGCATACTAACAATGTCCCTTTGAGGTAGAATGCTAAAAGGACTTTTGATCAATCACAGCCTAATTTAAACCTCTCATAAATTTTCTCTAACATTAGCTGTGGAGAATATTAAGTATAACATATTAACAAGAGCTTCCAAGGTAATATACAGTGGACAAGAATGTTAACCCTACAACTGTTGCCTTCATGTATATTGAAAGCACATAATTCTCCTAAAACAAACATCCAAGATCCATTCCCAAAGTCTTTAGCATTCTATTATGAAAAGCACAGCCATGCTAACTTCAGTACACAACCATAATCCCACACCTACAAAACAAAAATAGAATTAGTGGCAGTTTATTGCCTTATACAAATTTAACCAACATGGCAACCATGCCAAAGGAATTAAAACATTTTCAGGACATATGTACAGACTGTACATTTTAAAAACAAACAAAAATGCAAGAACAATCTGTGCATCATGTGTCAACTCAACTGGGTGAAAACATCAATGCAATATATGGGATTACAAAGGCACTTCCCTACACAAAAAGAAATGAAAACACAGCCTACAGGGAGCTCAGAGTGCATAACTACTGCACAATCTTAATTTGGGGGGAAAAAAAGCAGAATTTAATCAACATTTATAGGATTCAATGTGATCCAATTTTACAAAATCTTCACACAGTCTCATCTTTGTTTTTATGTTCTCTTTCTTGGCTCTCTGGCTCTACACTCTGGCTCCTCTGATGATCCTGTCTGTCTGACTGGTCCTTGCCATCCCCATGATCTCTCTTGTGGGAGCGGTCTTGGCTTCGACTGCGCTTTCTAGACTTCTCTTTGCTAGGGCTGTGTTCTCGTTTCCTCAATTTTTCCACACTGCCAGTTCTTCCTTGGCTGCCACTTCTACTTCTTTTATTTGACTTTTCTTTGCTTTCGTTTTTATGTTTGCTTGACTTGTCTTTGCTCCTGCTCCGTTTCCCTGCATTTCTGCTTCTGCTTCTACTTCTGTGTTTCCTTTCTCTGCTTCTACTTCTGCTGTGTTTTTTCTTGGAATCTTTTTTGTCGTCTCTGTGTCGCCTATCCTCCTTGTCTTCTTTGTGCTTCTTCTCCTCTCCCTCACCCCTACTCCTCTGCTCCTTGGAGCGCTCTCTCGATCTCTCCCGGTCCCTTTCTCCTCTCTCCTTATCATAATCTCGATCTCGTCTTCGACCTCTCTCATTTTCTTTCTCCCTTTCCCGATCCCTGTCTCTTCTATCCCCTTTCCTATCACGACTTCGACTGCGACTTCTATGCCTTTCCCTACTCCGGCTGTGCCTGCGCTCTAACCCCCGATCAATACTTCGGGATCTTCGTCTTTCCTTCTCTCTCTCTTTGGCTTCCCGCTCTAGTCGCTGCCGTTCTTTCTCTCTTTCTAATTCTCTGTCAAAACTAGAAGATCCATGGCCCTCCCGGTGATGACTTCTACTTCTTGATCTTCTTGGAGATCTCCGCGGACTCAGTGATCTCCTTGGAGATCTAAGAAAAGAGGGAAGGAAGAAACTAGAGTAAATAAAACGCTGTAAGGGAAAGGGTACTTGCAGTTCAGTAGAACACTTGCCTGGCACACTGTCAAGCCACTGGAACTGACGACATTCAGTAACAAACATTCTCCAGTACTCAGCACACAAGAACCAAACAAATACACTCTAAAAATTTCATCACCTCACACACCAAATATTTGGACGGGTATAATTTGGGGTAGTGCTTGCTTAGCAAGTATTTATATGTCAGTGCTAAGCAGCAAAGGGGTACAAGAAAATAAATGAACTGTTCTCAGTATAGACACAATTTTACTGAAAATGTGATGGAAGAAAAAAAACTACTTTTTGAAGGATAATAACAAAAACAAACATATTTTAAGAATTTATCACTCCCCAAGAATCACCAACTTTGCACAGGCGCATCTTAAAAAATGGTAGTCTATATCACCTGGACCGCCGGCGCTCAACATGTCTGTCTATCTCCTCAACCCCTTCCTTGCCATCTTTCTTCATTTTCCTAGGCCGGGTTTTAATCTGTTGATCAATATTCTTCTGAACTGGAACTGGAATTCTTGGAAACAATGTAGAAAACCACTCCAGTTTTGTGAGAAAGGAGCGAAGCATCTCTCCAATGGTCATTACACAGCCTCCACCAGCTTTCACATCTAGGTCCTATGAAACACAAAAGATACCCTACTGGTTAAAAAAAAATCCGTTATTTCAACATATATGTGAACACTAAAAAAGAAAAAAAATCTTTTTACCATCTTTGGAATCAAGTATAAAAAACTAATAGAAAAATTTCAATTTCTGTATCCTAATCTGGCAATGAATGAAGAATATTTGGGCTAATTGTATACATGCAGGTGAGAACAAACCCTGCAGCCTCTTGGGCATAAAGGAAACTGACTCACTCATTAATGAAAATATGAAAAGGCCCCTTACATAGCTAAACTATGTGGAACAAGTGATTTAAATTTATATTCCACATACCTACACTCGAGGACACATTTGCACATTATCATACCTAGCACTGAAACCTGGCTATGTAGGAACTACTTTCATATAATTCCTGTCTAAAGGTTATCTTTTAACAGCTGCAATACAAAATGAAGCCCTGCTAAAACTGGAAGCAATAGCAAACCAACTGCCATGAAGCAGTGAGGTTTCTAAAGTTATGTACAAAATAAATAAATGAACAAATAATTGGAAACGCATAATCCATGATGACCATTGTCTCTGAAAAGGGTCATTACCGCATGAAGGCCTTCTTGCTATGCCCTCTCACAGCTCAGGACATGTTAGTCAGCTATTGTCAGTCCCAAACCTACAGTGCAAGCACACAAGGAAAGTGAGATTTGTTATCTAAACAGGAAAACAAGAGCTAAAGGTAAAACTGCTTGCACTCACACACATTTAAGTGTTCAGATATACAGTATTTCCAAATATAATCGCTGCAGATATCTAAAGAAGAAAACATACGTTAGCTCAAACAGAGGACCTCAGGCTTGTAAATACAATATAGAACAGATAAATCAGAAGCATTCAGAAATCTAATACAGCTTAAAAAAATGACATGCCTTTTTGAAGTGCTTTATTCTTAAAAACAAAAGAACCAACCAAAAACAAAACAAAACAAACAAAAACTAATGTAAACCGGGTGGTGGTGGTTGTGCACACCTTTTATCCCAGCACTCCAAAGGCAGAGGCAGGCGGATCTCTGTGAGTGCAAGGCCAGCCTGGCCTACAGAGTGAGTTCTAGTACAGCCAGGGCTGTTACACAGAGAAGCCCAGTCGTCTCAACCCACCCCCGACAAAACGAAAACCAACCATCAAAACAAAAAAACAAAAATCACCATGTAAATAGAAGAAAAGTTTAACAATTATGATCTTCACCTCAATGGAGTCTTTGAAACAAACAGCCAAAACCAGGGAAGGAAAATAATCAGACTGCTGGGCCCGACAGGCATACTTGTAACCTTGCATTAGGGAGTAGGCCAGGATCAGTAGGAGTAGAGCTTTCCTTTCTCAGGTAATCTGAGGCCAACCCAAGTTACATAAGACCTTGTCTCAAAAAAGTTCTCCTTTTGCCTACATTAGTGAGATTTTTTTTTTCTTTAGGGCGGGCATCTAAACAAAATGAAATTTTTATGAGAAGCACGAATTCATCAAACGACAACAAAATTCTTTTAAGACAAGGTCTCCCTATATAATCCTGGGTGGTCTGGGATTTACTATGTAGGCCAGGCTGGTCTACACTCAGCAACCCACCTGCTGGGATTGAAAGTATGCCCCAATAGCATCAAACAAATTTGTTTGACCTTATAGAAGCAGCTGTTAACTATACCATATAAACTCTGAAACACAAATAGTGATAAAAAGTAGATATACTGGCAATATAGCTCACAACTGAGTATATGCTGACACGATAGTCTTCAATTCGTGAGTAAATTAATACAGGTATGATTTTAATCTTCTCTTGTCTCAGAGCTTAAGATGGTGACCAGATTTAGACTAAAAAACCCTAAAATTCTAATCTACGAGGAAAAAAATGGGCTTTTTTGGGGGGGCAGTGTTGGGGTTCAAGCCTAGAATCATGTACATTGAATATGAATGATTAAGTTTTTAAAAACTTTAAGCCGGGTCTCTAAAAAAAGTATACCCTGTGTGGTATATTGGATTACAGGTCTGAGGTTGCCCTGAGAAAACGGAAAAGAATTATAATTATTTCCTCACCTTGGAAAAGCATAATTGTCAGGCCATTTAAGCCAACCCCAATTCTTTGTAGCTCTGTACTTATAAGCAAATATGAATATTGCCGTTTGAAAAGGGTCACAGTAAAAACCCCCAACTTCCAGTGGATTTAAATGCCCACAGCCACAGCAGTACATGCCTTCTCCACTGCATCCACCTCCTTAGACAGTAGCTACCAGCTGTCCAAGTTAGGATCAACACAGCACAGTGTGATTTGGAAGAGAAAAGGTTATTATTCAAATTATTAAAACAGAACTCTTAAAACATTAAAATAACTTAAAAATTTAACCTAACATGGAAAGTCATCAAATCTTAGCAAAAGGTAATAATACCAAAAGTAGGACTGAAGAAATAAATCTACAAAAATTCTGAGGACATTAAATCCAACAAATAAAAGATCAGGAGCAGTGACGGAAGAAGCCGATTCCGCCTGCTGACATACCTCCTCGTCGTCAAGGAAGGGCTCAAACCAGTCCCACAGGTCTGTAGGGGGCTGTGTATACCTAAGACCATGAAAAAATCCATTAGTTTATGGGATTTAAAATAAAATGTTCATTTAAAAATGTAGATAAACGCATGTTTACCTTATATACATAAATCCAAGAGCTCTGATATATGGAGAGTCTGTATGTGTTATGAGACCCATCACTTGCTTTCGAGTTAACTTCAGGGTGAATAATTTGTACAACAGGCAAAAAGCGGTAGAAACAATGCCTCCTGTTCCAACACCTCGAACCTGCACAGAAAGAGTTAATAAAAATTAATAAACAGATACTTAATACCTATCGATTTGTGCTTGTTTTAGATATCAATACCATGATCTAGACTTAAAAAGAGTATAAAAACTAATAATTCTCCTAACCTAATTCAAAGGAGACTTGAATTTTACACTTTTGAAAATTTCTAAGATCTGCCAATGAACTGTCATTTAGTTTTCCTATAAACTTAGCAGACAGAAAAACTGGAAAAAAATGCACGTACTTCTACTTACCCCTCCGCACATCCCCGTCTGGCCAGCTGTCTTCCTGCTTCCTTTCTCCCATGGCTCAACATGTGTGACCTGAAAATAAAAAAGAAGAAGACAACAAACGTTCCTACTCTGAATCTTCCGAGTAAAGCAAGCTCAGCTTATTAAGAGCAACCCTCCCAAGAGTCGCGCCACTGTAGTGCGGTATCCACACTACCCTGTACTCACACTAAGTATATAAACCACCTTTGGGGAAACCGCTCAGACAGAATACTAACAAAACTGGCATGTCTTCAAAGCAGAGAGCTCGTTAAACTAGCTGTATAGACAGGTCACACTCACGAGGAGGTCAGGAAAGTTCTACAATTTCCTACATTCGCAAAAATTAGTATTTTATCTTTTATGTAATTTTAAAAAGTCCTATAAGAAAAAAAGTTTTAAGATTCCTCCTAAATGGTGTAGTTTTATGGGGAATTTAAATCCACATCACAAAATTAAATGTTTTCTAGGGCTTCTGCTGCTCAGTAACAGGTAAGGTACTCGTTTAAGGCCTGCAGTGGGGGTTGGGGGTCGGGTGTGAGGTGGCATCTCTGAAGCCTTGACAGGCCTGGATCTCACTACTTAGACCAGGCTGGCTTAGAACTTTACCAAGATCCTCCTGCCTCTGCCTCTCAAGTGTTTGGATTACTACCACATTTAGCTTGGGACTTCTTATTTCTAGTTTTCATCTGGATCATGTTCATTCTTAAAGATTAAAATCACAAAGCCACAAGATCATACAGCCTAACTGCAAACCCAGAGTATAAAATAAAGCTAAGTGTGAAGTCATTAACATATAGCAAATGTAACCAATGATAAAGTACCATCTCTGCTAAAGGGAGCACTCTACAAAAACAGCTTTACCTAAAATATAGCAAAAAGCTACTACTGAAACAGACAAGCCAAAAAATACTAGATCTGTTTTTGTTTCTTAAAACAAATAAACCCTGCTCTTTATTTTTGCCCACACACTGTAACACTTCATTTCAGTGGCTTTAGACAAAGACAACAAAACCCCTATATTTAAAATGAAGCACAAAAAACCCTACATTAAGTTGAAGCTGTTTTGCTCAGCTCCTGCAATTCTTTCCTGTTCCCAACAACTGAACTGTGAAAGCCCCAGTGCTGGGAGCTGAACCCTAGGGCCTTGTCCATGTTGGGCAAATGCAGTTACCAGTTTGAATTGAGCCACAACCCCTTTCTATCCTTTAAAGGGTACCCAAAGGAGTGGATACAATGCAAAACTGAAAGCCTATAAACTTCAAAGATTATTTGACCCAAAGAAACTCATAATAAGTTTAAGTCACGTTTTATGGTTTTATTTTTAATTACGTGATGTGTGGGTCTGTGGAGCCCAGAAGGGTCTGAACCTCTGGAACTGGGAAACAGGAGGTTGTGACCTACTAAATGTGGATGATAGGAACTGAACTTAGGTCCTATGCAAAGGGAACATATGCTCTTAATCCATGAACATTGCTCCATCCCGAGATTTCAGTTTTAAAAATGAATTTAAATATACTCTAAAGAAAAAGTGGTCTCCAAATACGTCATTTGAAATTAACTTGAAAGATTAGTCTATATTTTAAAACAACCTGTCAAAAAGCGTAGGGACCCAATTCTTCAAGGTTAACTGCATAAACTAACTAGTCATCATCCTATATCCACACTGAAAAGGCCTTACCTTTCCAAAGTTAGTTTTACAAACATCTACTCGGAGTATCAGTTACACCCACATTAACAATCTTTTGTAAGAGAACACTAAGAGGGCTGGTCTAATCTATGTCTCCAAAGTTAAGATTTTTCCATAAAAAGCAATTAGTATCTCAAAAAATTCCTAACCTAAACATGTAACTGGGAGAAAAGTAAGTAAAATAAAATATAGAATTTCTTTTTGGTAACATCTCCACATGTATATTTAGATGACACAAAATATATTTGGTCTGTCTCAAGTTTCTAAGTGTCAAGACAAGAAAAATCCGATGTACTTTATTTTACATGCTCTAGCGAAAAAATGCTTAAAAGACATCAAGACTATTAATACTCATTAAAAATATAAATTAACTTCGGAGGCCTGGAAGGTATTTTTTTAACTACCTAATTTGCAAGGAAGTGGAGAATCTAGTTAGTGAGACCAAAATCAATGGCCCAAAACCAAACCAAAAAAAAAAAAATAAACAAAAAAACAAAAACCTAATTAGCCATTCATTTAACCAGGGAAATGCATTTATGGCGATTGAGCATGATTAATAGTGCATACCTCTACCTGCGACCCTGGGCTGCTCCGAGCCTCGCTGCAAGACTGAGTCAATCCTGCTAACGAAACAAGAACTGAGACACGAGTGCAGTGAGGAGGCGCCAGGTGAGCTCCCCAGCACAGCCAAGCCAGCACCGACCCTGCCGCAGAAGCCCAGGGCCCAGAGGATTCTAATTATGCCCAACGCACAGGTGGCTGAGACCTCCGACTCCTGACTTCCTGCTGGGAACATTTCCAGGCCTTCTGTACACCTCTCTGCACCGGCACACCGAGCCACCCTCGTCCCTCCCGCCCCACCCCGACACACGCACACTAACCAATTCTGGTCGGGATTGGAGAGTTAACGCAGGACGCGAGGCCGACACGCAAGGAATTACTCCAGCAATGCCGCTGGCCCGAAGGGCAGCGGAAGCACCACCAAGTTAGTGCTTGGTCGACACGGGTAAAAGGGAGTCATTTTTAAAATGGTGAACTTGAACGGGCTTCTGGTAATACTTTTTCTCCTCTCCCTTATCCCTTTTGCCCAACAGCTCCCTGGGGGTTAGGCAGGAGGTTGGGGCAGGTTAAAGATCGGTTGTGGCGGGCTCGCCCGGCTCTTAAAAAAAAAAAAAAAAAAAAAAAAAAAACGGGGGGAAAAAAACAACCCACGGAACCTGAAAAGGAGAAAAAGGGCGGCCCTAGCCCGACCCGTCCCAAACCAGCCAGGAGCCGCACTTCTCCCTCCGCCAACTTTCACCCTCCCCCCACAAAATCCTCGGGTCTCGGGGGGGGGGGCGCTTCCACCGGTCTCCGACAACCCGCTCTGGCGGACTCACCCCCAAACCGAGGGGCCTAGGGGCTGCGTACCTTAAAGTAGATCTCGTCCACCACCTCGTGGTAGGTCTTGAGCTCGTAAAGCTGCACTTTGAAGTAAGGCGACGACAGGATGTTGGTGAGGATCATGGGGTTGAGGTTCATGGTCTTCTCGTTGCCCCACAGCGGCAGCACGTTGCCCTGTTTGCCCGACACCGCCGGCTTGGTGGCGCCGCCGCCGCCGCATGGCTGCTGCTGCTGGGCCACGGCCGCGGCCGCCTGGTGCTGCGGTTGCGAGTTGCCTGTTAGCGCGGGGCTGTTGTTAGCCATGTTGCCGCGGCAGGAGGGGGGGGGGGGGGGGGGGGGGGAGGCCCAAGCTCGATCGCGCTCTTCGGGACAACGGTCCCGGACCTACTCCATGGAAGGCCGTCGGGCCGGGGAGCCCGCTGCGTTGTGCCCCAGCCGAGCGTGGGACTGTAACTGGGACGCCGACACACGGACCCCGGGCCCGGGGCGCACAGCAAACGCAAGCCGCGAGGACGCCGGGCGCAAAGGAGAGCGGAGAGCCAGGGAGCACGATCTCTTCCGCCAACTGCCCCTGGGAACAAGATGGCGGGCCCAGCGGAAGTGACGACGTACGCCGGGCGGCCGAGCTAAGCCCGTGGCCAATCAGAGTCGCCCGTGTGGGCAGGCGGTTCCTTTTCCTGGTTGCGCGAGGTCCCTGCTGGTTGGGTCCGCTGCGGCGGTCCTTGTGCCATCCTGGTGGGTTCCTCCTGGGAGTTTCGCCCCAGGGGAAAGGGATTGAGACCCGACTGCTGTGTATTAGCGTTGGAATCAGTGGTTTAAGGTTTTAGAGGCAGGAAGGGGGTCTCGTCACCCTTACTCACTGCGCTTGACTAATGCGTGACTTTTTACGCCTACGGAGCTTCCGAGGTCTCAAGAGTTAATTCTGTTAAGGTTCCCCAGAAAGAACTAGAGTCTGGGAATCCCACTTCTCCGATAAAGGGTCCTTGAGCCTTTCTCAGAAAGTGTCCAACCGGAAGTCGTAGACAGACTCAATTTACTCACATTGGCTTAGGATAGCTCCCCCCCAAAAAAACAAACAAACAAAAAACAACAGAGTTTCTCTGTAGCTTTGGGGCCTATCCTGAAATTCGCTGCGTAGACCAGACTGGCCTTGAATTTACATCTCACCTGCCTCTGCCTCCTGAGTGCTGGGGTGGCCTTCAGCCACCACCACCCCGTTTGTTTGTTTGTTTGTTTGGTTTGTCGTTTGTTTCTTTTCTTTCTTTCTTTTCTTTTCTTTTTTTTTTTTTTTTAAAAAAAAACAGAGTTTGGAGCCTGTTCTGGAACTCGCTTTGTAGGTCAGGTGGCCTCGAACTTACAGAGATCCGCCTGCCCCTGAGTGCTGGGTTTAAAGGCGTGAGCCACTGGCTAGATTGGGATAACATTTTAATTGCTTTGTGAATGTTAAAGAAAGTACTCTCAGCTGGGCATGGTGGTGGTGCCCCCTTTAATCCCACTGCTGGGGAAGAAGCAGCAGGCCAGTCTCTGAGCCCAAAACCACCAGATCTACATAGTGAGTTCCAGATCAGCTAAGGCACCACAAAGAGACCAAATCTCAAAAGAACAAAAAGCAGAAAAAGCCGCTACCCTGCCTGGAGTGTTTCGAATCTACCTTTTATAATTTTTAGATAGGGAGACTAGTATGTAGCCCAAGCTGGCCTCACACTCAGGACAATCTTTCTGCCACGGTCTTCGGAATACCGGGATTTCAGTCGTGAGCCACCACGTGTAGTGAGATAGTTATATGGTACAGCTGCACTGGGCTGGGCACCAGGTGTGGGGGTGGGGGTAGCGAAATGGTATAAAGGAATCAGCAAGGGTCAGTTCTCAAAGGCTACCGACAACTTAAGATGAGTGGAGTTTGAGAGTTAAGTGAAGGCTATAGCGCTCTGATGTATCTTTGGATGGAATGGGGTGGGCATTTCACTGGCAGAGAATAGCCTAAGCATAGAAGCCAAAATCAGGGTTACTAGGTGGTAAATAGCACAGATGGCAGGAGGTTAGGAGATAGGCTTCTGGGGGAGTGGCAATACAACGCCTATAATGTCACAATGAAACATTAGGAATTTAATAATACTTAAACCAAATGTTACTCCACATCTTTATAGCGTGTGTGTCTGTTTACTTAAATCAGGCCAGGTTTGGTTTTAGTGGCCACATCTGTAATGCCAGCATTCGTGAGGCTGAGGCAGGACAATCAAGAGTCCAAGACCAGTCTGGGCTATATAACAACAACTTGACTTTTAAAAAAATCAAGCTATTGGTGTTTTGTTCAATGATAGAACACATGTTTAGCACATGCAAAGTCAGTTTAATCCCAACACATTTACATGCTTCTGTGCACATTCATGTATACACATGTTAGAGGCTGTGGATGTACCTCACAGGTAGAGGCATTGTTTAGCAAGCAGGACTTTTAGCCCCACCACTGGAAAAAGAAAATAGTCCATACATATAATGGTACCACCGACCTTTGTATTACTAATGCTAATATTTTTGGCTTCAGTCCATTTTTGCAGAGATTGTCAGAATAATTCCAGGGTACCTCTGCTCCTGGCTGCCTCCTTAGCTGCAAACTCAACTGAGTGTCATCCAATGACATTTTTCATTCTATTTAATTTCTGCTTGTGCTGCATCTGACTGTTTATTCTTTCCTGGAAGCTTTTGGGTTAGGAAGATTCAAGGCAGAAAATCTTAGCTTCAGTATATACACAGAGGGGGCAGAGATGGAACAGAGGACAGTGGGAGATGGGCAATGAGTTGAAACCAACTGCTCCCCAGAATGAATCCTATTGATCACCCCTCAGAGGGAAAGCCATATGCAGCCCTGGTTTGCAAGTCAACATTTTGCCAGTGACTAAATGACATAAGTCACTTTGGGTTCTATGAGGAGGGTAGTGATAAGAGAGGAAGTGATAGATATAGATAGAGGATAGATATCAATTCCTCTGCTCCAAGGAGGAGGTCCAGCGGAGTCTGGGTTGTGAAGATGAACTTTCTGGGTGGAGGTCTATACGTGTGGAATGAATGAAGAAAGGCTATCGTGTTACTTGAGGAGAGATTTATTTGGGTCATGAGTTCAGAGGCTTAAGTCTATCATCACTTGGCCGTGTTAGTTCTGAGCCTGTGTGTGCCGGTGTTACTGGTGCATCTCAGGGCTGTGTGTGCCAGTGTTACCGGTGCATCTCAGGGCTGTGTGTGCCAATGTTACCGGTGCATCTCAGGGCTCCCTGCCCAAGTATCCACATGCATGAGCCTGAAGGTGTTACGCACTGTTTCAGCACTTAGGATGTTCTTGCCTGTGATGGGGCAGATGCCACCGTTGGCAAGAGTGTTCTGCCGTGACACTGCCTGATTCCCAGGTAACCTTGACAGGGCACACCTGGAAACAGATCGAGGGCAGCTGTTATGTCCATTCCCTTGGGGGAAGCACTTCTTTTCCTTGAGGTAATAGCCGATGGTGTAATTCCGATCCCCAGTTTCCTTCTCTGACTGGACTATGGCATTGCCGAACCCCATGAATTCCTTCCCAGCCATCTTGTTCAGATATTGCAGTACAAAATCAAACTTCTCTACTTTGTTAAAGTCCATCTTGGTCAAGGAGCTGACGACAATGGCACCTGCCTTGACCGTGGAGTTATGGGAGAATCCTTCTTCATTGAGGGAGATTTTGTTACAGCGCAGACTCCTGGGTTCCTTGCCCACAAACTCGTGCGCATGGTCATTGCCTATCATGCTCACAGAGACGGCATAAGTGAGGGGCTTGACACAGAACTGCAGGCAGAAAGGGATCTTTGTGCGGCCCCGAGTGCTGCTGGCCATCTTCAGTGCACAAGGAAACACCCCTGAGGGGCTATGTTTGACTTGGCCAGGTGAGGGATGTAGGCTGCTGCTTTGCCTCCAGTGAGCTCTTTGGCCCGTGAACTCCTTAAAGTCAGGAATGACAAACTTCTTTCGGAATGCCTGAGTCAGGAGCACAGTGTTGCGGCTTACACACTTTTGGAAGAGATCCCGGTCTAAAAGTTCACCACTGCTGGACTCTTGGACCATGCACTGCATTTGTTCATACAGTCCTGGAGCCGTAGGGCTGACGTCTGCACTCCAGTGGCTTTCAGGGATGGGGATCTGTCCCTGTCCCTCAGCAATAGTTGAGGCAGCATGCTGCTGTTTGATGCATCATGATCCCTGTGCTGCGGCAGGCTGGTGGCTCTACAGGGTCCCCTTGCCCTGCGCTGTGGCCTCATTGTGGTTGTCCTGGACGACCCCGCTCTGGTGACCCCAACCTCCTCGCCAGCACCAGTGGTGGCTGCTGTGCAGCTCAAGCGCGTTCTGCAGAGCCCTGATGGAGCGCATGCCATCTCTGGCAGAGCGACCAGGATGCTCCAGACCAGCGAGCAGCAGCGAGGAGGGAGGGGTGGAAGAGTGGAGGCTGAGCCTAGCGGTGGGAAAACCATCGCATGAACTTCTTATGGCAAGATTTTAAACCTTCCCCTCCCGACTACTTTTTTCCCTCAGAAATTTTGATGTGTCCTGAAATTATATGTAAATAAAATAGATACACAGACAATGGGGATATATGTAGCTCAGTTGGTAGAATGCAACATTAACATTATATAAGCACAGAATTTGGCATGTGAACACTGGAGGATCAGAAGTTCACAATTATTCTCTAACACAATACAATCCAAAGATACACTAATCTGATATTTACATGTGGTAGTTTGAATGTAATTGGCCCCTGGAAGCTCATAGGGAGTGGCACTGTTAGGAGGTGTGGCTTTGTTGGAATAGGTATGGCCTCATTAAAGGAAGTATGCCACTATGGGGGTGGGGTTTGAGGTCTCACACATGCTCAAGCCTACCCAGAGCCTCAGATCACTTCCTGTTGCCTGCTGGTCAAAACGTACCTCCTTCTCAGTTCCCAGCTTTGTCTCCAGCACTATGTCTGCCTGCATGTTGCCTTGCTTCCCACCATGACGATGATGGACTCAATCTCTGAAGTGAGCAAGTCACCCAATTAAATGTTTTCTTTTCTAAAAGTTGTTGTGGTACAGAGAAATGACTGCTGAACTTGTCTAAAGGTGAGACAGTCCTTCAGGGTTCCTGCTTCATGAGAGAGTCTGCAAGACATTCTGCTGGACACAAAAGAAAGTGACTGACAAACTGCCAATGTAGGCGGAACTGTCTTTGAAATTTCCTGCTTCGTGGAAAAGTCTGCTGGATACTATGAGCCTGCTGGCTGAAGAGTGGATGCCCCAACAATATAGAAGTACTTTGGGTGACTGTCCAGGAAGTGAGATGTCTCTGTTAATTCTTGAGTTTTGGAAGTTATTTACAATATACTTCCTGTTTACTTAGGTAATATTATATCCTTTTGGAGTCTTTGATGGAGTTGAAGAATTGATAGTTATAGTTTTCCTTAGTTATAATAAAAGATAAAGTTGATATAAAAAAAGTTGTTGTGGTAATGGTGTCCCTTCACAGCAATAGAAACCCTATCTAAGACATGTGATAAGGAATGGTAACAGGAAATAATTAAGCTTTTGTT